TTGATACCAAAACTAATAACGCGAATAAATTTGAATGCCTTGAGCTGCAGTTCGGCATCGTTTAGCTTCTCTTTTGATCTTGTTGTGCCAGATGACAAGGGGCCCTCATGGCCATCATTTACTTGCTTGTGAGAAGTAGATGATATCTCGGTATACGTGCACCTAATCGGCGCCACTTATCGCTTTCATCGAATCTTCTCTGCGAGAGGTTTGACGTGACACATTCCAAACTCTTTGTTGAACAGGAGGAAGGAGAATTCAGGCGAGAGCTTTCGTTTCAAACACTATAGAATAGTTTATCATTGTAACGGCTTAATCTCTTGCCTTTAGAGAATTATAAGGCAATACAATTCGAATTTTGTCGCAGTTAAGTGAAAGTAATCACACTGCGTAAATCCCATGGTCAGATATCTATTAGGAAAGTCAGTTTCCGGAATTTCTCTAGTCAATTACAAACGTATGTTTCTCCTTTGAAAGCAAGTATATCACTAACGCTGAAAGCTGTAGGTCATTGCTTAGGAAATCATCGAGATGTGTTTAGTAGATTGCCGGTTGTCGATAAGACCAGCGTATATGCTATGAGGTACAGTGTTTCGTAGACCAGCTCGTCCAACTTTTTTTAGAGTCGAATTTGCTTGTGGTCGCACATCGTTGTGCAAACGACCAGGCAAAAGTGCATTTCGCCCAGCTAAAGAACCCTGCCTTAACCATTGCAATTGCTTCACCTCTTAAATCCCAGTCCACCTCCTTATGCCTTTGCCCCAGGTATCTCCTTGGGCTGATTGCTGTCAAGCCCGGTATCCGCCAGATCCGTTTTTATGATCCTGGCTTTCCGCTATAATGTGTTTAAATACCCACTGCACAGTGCGCTCATTGGTAATAGGAAAGTCAAATGCATAGTCTTGCTGGATCTTTAGCCCTGCTTTTTGCCTTGGTTTTGGTTAAGTTGCGACAAGAAAATTACTTGAGTCTAACTTGTTATTTAATGTTTAGAAATCTTAATAACTAAGTAATAACAACGATGGTTCCAGGTAGAGCTGAAATGAACTTCAGAATGGCATGATATATTATATATCGAAACATCGTATTGAATACGATAAAAATCACAAATACCAAGAGCGAATTTTTTTAACCTGGAAAAGTAGTACTTTTATTATAAGGGAAATATGCGAGCATTCAGCTTCCTATCGCCTAATCTATCAGTCAACCCCGGCATGAAATTATACCATGTGAAGGTGTTATCTTGGACACTCTTCCAACTTTTAACACTTGCTTCATTTCTCGGGTTACAAATTTGTGCCAAGCCCTTCAATAATGAGATTTGCTACAAACCGGTCACGGACATAGCGCAAACTGAAGACGTCACCCTTTGCTAGGCATGCTAATTACCGCCTGACTACGTTGTGCAAGGTGTAAATTTGAGTGAGTTGTGTCGGAAAGCTGCAATTTATAATCATAATTACAAATATTATATTTTAAAATGCTACGTTATAACACAAATCATGAAATTAATTCTTATTACATTATTGTATACTATTGTACAAGATTTTATTTCTAAAGTAGCGGTTGGGAAACTGTCACCAAAGATTTGGATAAGATGTGCTGAGGAAGTGCCACGTAAACAAAATCATAATGAGAATGTATGCCGTTTTTTGTGAAGAGTTATCAAGTTACATCTTGTTTACCGTAATATAGTAATAATCTACACTGG